GGTGAAAATTACGATGATGTCCTTCGGGGCTAAAATGGAGACAGTATGTTCGTCAGAAAAGGTATAACGACGAGTCCACGTGGTGTCAAAACCCTAAACGACAACATCGTCCTATTCGAAGATTTCTGTCTTCTGGGTTCTATTCATTCATTTATTTACATATTCATCCAGTGTGACAGTTTATCATCTTACTGTGTAAAATTCACCAATTTCGAGGTAACCCATTTAATGTCAGTATCAATATGCCTCAGTTCTTTACATATAAAAGCAAACGTTGCCTTAATCTAAAATACGGAAACAATAAATCTTCGCAATCGATTAATAACGAGACATTCATTAACACAATCCTATTATTCTAGTGGACACATCTGAGAGGCTTAGTCCGTTGTCACCGGAAGTTCTAAGTGGAGTCAGAGCATCCGATAAAATAACCTGTCAAGGGTAGACTGGGGCGGCCAGATTCGAGACACCCTTCTCCACATCATCAATCTAATTCACCAGCCACTGCTCCTTCGGGGGTACTGTGAGATCACGGACATGTTGACCATAAAGTAACTTCAGTCCCCAGTCCTGAATTTATATTTCATTTGTATGAGTAATTCATTACGCAAAGCCTTGCCTTGCCGTTCCGTTGCAGCAACCGGCCCGTGACGAGCCGTGTGGAGATCTCAGTACAGACGCTGACAAGGATCATACAACCATTGGAACATAATACAAAACACAAATCTCGCTAAGATCTACAATTTTTTTATAAATATTTCAATTTTTGATTTTTTCCTTCGCGCGTCCTTCAGGGCTTAAGTGAGATTTGAGACAAAACTTTCGAGGCAAAGGACATTTCAAGCCCGACACTCGTTTTTATGATTTCAATATAATCCTTTTTTTCACAAATAGAATGTGTCAGAAATTGGTTGCGTGACTTATAGATCACCCTGTATTACAAGGGGAAGAATGAAGTCGGAATATAAGTTTCCATATTTGTAGACTTTACAGGGTAAAAATGTGTCAACAGTTGGCAGTCACGCTTAATTTAAGTGAAATAGAAGTCGCTACTCTTAATTAAATTTTTAATATTGTCTCGTTTAATAATGAAGATTTTTAAAATATGTACAATAAATCACCATAATAAAAATATATATTATTATTACATGGTTTATGTCACACATTTGAGAGATATATTTTTTAATTTTTTGATGAATATTCGGCAAAAATCGTACAAGTTATCCTGCCACTTATGAATATAAAAAAAGTTATTCTCATAAAGGCAATATTTAGAAGCAGTATAATAAGATTAGATTACCGCGATCTTGAAGTAATTTAGAAGTACAAGTGGGTGGATTTTCAAACAAGCACGAATTTAAATCGCACATAATAATGAGCGATTTAAATTCAACGTGGAATATGTGACATCGTAGTCTCCATATGCGGTTACAAAATCTATGTATTGTTTTGATTTCAGGGACCACGTACATCCAAACAGATTCGATGACAGGAGAGTGATTTATGGCATTCGGCAAAACGAGGTTTTGTCCAGCTATGAAAGCCGCTTCGACCAACAAAGCGAAACGCTGAAAACATGGTTTTCATCACACGAATACTAAATTCATTTTGAAAAGTCCCAACTAAATTAAACAATAATTTACTTCTAACCTCCCCCAGCATTTCCAAACACGCTGAAGTGTTTACAGAAAAAAACGTATACACCATACGTGAGGTTTCGAGCTTTCCAAGAATTCAAAACTTTTATTGCGTTATTATGGGTTGTGACGTAATTAAGTCTTGCTTAACTTTCAACTGGTGAACAGTTTTCCGCCTCTCTCGATGTCAAGAAATAATGATAACTTATATGACATAAAAACACGTAACTGAGAACCTGATGATGGTCACACTCGGTAGAAACATGTTCCACTGAACGGACTGTAAAAGTTACGCACAAAGATAAATAATCAAGAATATTACAAATGTTTAAAGCAGTTCCTACGCCTGTTTCGACTTTTATCATCTCCATGTTCCACTGTCTTCACAAACGTTGCATCATGTAAGGTTCTTACGTACCAAAACAAAACAAGATCTTCAAAGATGAGGTCTGAATGTTTCCTACGATGGTGAGATATAATCTGTAAAATTATTTCCATGGACTCTGTCCTTCGTCCAGGTCTGAGGCTCGCTGAACCAAAGCCTCAACATAGGATTCCTGGAGTCTCCCACTTCTCTCTTAAAGACGGAACAGAATCCAGCTTCCGAAATGTTCTAATTTTATTAATTTATACGATGGACAAAATCTAAAAAAAGTACACGTTATAAACTTCGAATCTTCGCTTCCGTATAAAACTGTTTTGCGTAAGTTTCAGAACAGACCAGAAAATAAATTCAACTTTGTGTCAGACCCCCCTTAAAATCAGCAAGAAATAAAAAAAACTTAGATCGGATACTAAAATTAACGTTTGAATACATAGTTCCCTACATCAGAATTACTCATTTTGAAACATCCAGACAATTAAACATGACGAAAAGCTAAATTATAACTTGTGTTGGGCAAGGCCGTGGTCTAGGCAACACGGAGTTTTCCTCCGTGGCATCCCAACAATTACTCCATTCACACACAGAAGAAGGCAATGGCAAACCACTTCTGGATCAGCTGCCAAGAACGTATATGAACAGGTCCCAGTCCGAGAAAAGGAGGGAAGGATCCGGTTCATATGGATGGACCTGTCGTCAGACAGAACACTAAATAAGAGACTTGTCTGAGAATATCTCTGGGTCTATTACAGAGACGGGTTTCCATTCACAAACCACCAATGCAAATATCGTATACAGACTCATCGTATCGTCAATGTGAACGTCGATCTAACACTCCATACATCCAGTATCAGGAGCTTCGCCCGTCTTTAAAGATGGACCAGACATGGCAATAAACCTTCAAGTTCCATAAAAGGAACGGAATTTATTAACAAGTTGGCCACCTGAGGCAACCACTTGCAGGCCTCTGGATTATAGGCGAATATACTAAAAAGTTAGATTGGTTCCTATTTATGAGTGAAAGTGACTATTAAATATAAATTGTGAATTAAATACATTAGTTCGTATAGCAGTTGCTGTTTTAACACGAATTGGTACACCATAATGTATTATCATCGTCCCAAATGCATCTACACTGCGAAATAGAATAGGATTTGAGACTTTCGCGGAGAGTAATTACGACACACAAGAGTAAAGTCACAGGCCTACTGTCGCACAGAGCAGAATTACGAGCTATAAGTAAGTGTTGTCGCCGAACGAGAACTGAGTAGTGTCGGAAACAATGCAACGTCACGTGAGTATACAGTGCTGCCATCTAGTCGCCGTCATGAGTTAACTGCGCTCCTGCCACATTATCACGAGACACAAACTAAAAGTGGAATCATAAGACATCTTCCAACACACACGTTTATAAATCCGTAATGCAAACTCAGAATCCAAACAGACATCGAAATTCAGAAGACATATGATACTAGGAATTGAGGCATTAGATTATTTAAATTATTGCAACAATAAAAATATTTTTTTTTGAATAAATAATTTAAGCTGGACATCTGTCAACTATTTACGTAGCCAGAAAAGAAAATTAAGAAGATTATTAATATTTTTTTGGAAGAAGCAATTATAAAATATGCAAACAAGCACATATCAGAAAACCCAATAACAGATATATTCGAAATTAAATTTTAAAACGAATATTAATGCTACAGAAGCATTTATTTTGCGGTACAGAAGATAAGAACCATAAAAGAACACAATGACTATAGTTAAACAATTGAAGACGCAAGATTTACCAAAACATATCCTGAATTATATCAACAAAGAGTTGATTATGACAAATAATTGATGAATTTCTAAGAAATCAATCGAATTCTGTTACTAAGCTAATTTCCCTTCCACGTACGACAACTGAATTGTTGCTCATAACAATAGAATTTCGAACGTCTTTTTTTTAAAAAAACAAACTTTCGGACGTGGCAAGAGACTTTCAAAAACTTCCAGCATCACTGAATTTAATTACAGTTTCAACGCTACTGTTCTAACGTGTTATTCGGATGTTTGATTAATTTAAATTAATGTTGAAACGTATAATGTTTCAGTAGTTGTTCAAGTTCTAAGTGAAAAGTTTTGATCAGTGTAACTTCGATGGGAAATAATTTGCAGTACAGTCGCTCCAACAAGAAAGCATCTCCTAACATACAGGCCATTTCACCTGTCAGCACGGAGAGAATCGACCGAAATCTCTAGAATTGAATACCCAGACACACAGCGGCGAACTCAAAATAGGAATAATTCGAGTGTGTTCTCTCTAAAAACAGAAAACCATCTGATCTTAATAAAGGTGACGTGGTTCCCTGTGTCGTACCTAATGAATTATTAACTAATATTTAGACGAGATTCGTGCTTCAAATTTTGATAAGGGCCATAGACCCTAGAGTACCTTAAACATAATCGCATTTATCGAAATTAGGGGCAGAGATTATGCATCAGGTTAAACACAGGACAACGCTGCTCCTACACGTATATACTGTCCGCCATGTTGATGAGATCTGTATCACGTTCTTAAGGCTTCGACCGGGATGTTCTTTTGTTAAATCTTATGTGGTACCGCCTGATTCGACTTCTAATGGTTAAGTGAAGTGTTTTCTTCGCGGTACGGTCTGGATTCATAAATAATATTCAGACGATCTTCGGCTTCAAAGGGTTAATCCAGTGTCCTTCAACTGGAATGTCGTGGCAATCGATATGCCCGATCTGCCTGCCCTGATGTCTCTTTGTTAAATTCTTTATATTTTGTATTATTTAATTAGGCTAATACACATAACGTTTTATTTAAATGGAAGTATCGTCATCTGAATCCCTGCTGAGGTGACAGATTCCCACATGACACTGGAAATCAGAAGGACTCGGACGTCAACTGCCACCTAATTGAAAAATGGGTTCGTACCCCCAGAAGTCGCCATCATACTCAAGACACTCACCTCCATTTATCATCTGCCCCTCCTGCAGTTGGATGGCGACACCGAAGCCCCCGATTTTGACGGGCGCTGAATTTTCCTTCGTCGCCAGAAGAACACAGTGCGGTTTGATATCTCGATGAATTATGTCATTCTCATGACAGTAGCGGACAGCCTCCAGGATCTGCCGCATGTAGTGGCTGCAAGGAACAATTGCAAACATCAGGTCTTCACTGCGGTGTCAATCTTCTGGGTTGTGACGAAGCGTAATCACAATTTAGAATTTATTACGTACTTACAAAATAAAAAACAACACGTCAGCATTAGAATGGTCAGACGGTTAATGATTTTGGGTACATAATTAATGTTGTTTACTGTGAAAATCTCACAAAATCGACAAAATTCACTCACTGACTGTTAAAGTACGTGGTACCAATAGAATGTCCTACGAAGATATAAAAATGCGATGCGAATTTTAAATTAATTTTAACAGCCCAATGTTACAGTTATTTTTAGTGAATAACTACTACGAATGGGAGGATAATATTAAAATCACTTTTAGCGAACTGGGGTGTCGATTGGATTCATCTGGATTTTATTTTTAATTCCTTTATCACTCGCGTAGCTGTATATAAAAATCACTGTGTTTCACAGGTTAGTTCTGCCCGTTTTCCACCTTGGACAGGTTTTAGACTAGCAAGGAGTACACCAGATTAAACTTTCATCCTCCTGTCACCTGAAGATGGATGGAAAACCAACCGCCGAAACGCTGTGCATTTTACAAATTTACACGATGGCAGCAGTTGTTTTTTTAATTATTACTAGTATTAGTATGCTTACTTGTTCATCTGTTTTTAGGATAAATGTCTATTATACGGGACAAAATTTTACAAAAAATATAATTATAGTAATTTATTACATTGCATATTAGTCTTGCTCACAAACGTCTTGATAATGCAGGCTATATTTAAATTTTGTTTTCTTGTGGGGTGCCAATACATTATTGTGCCTTATCTGAAAATTCTTATCACTAAAATAACATTTTTCCGGTGTAACTACAAAAAATGAAGTTAGGAGATTGTTTAAGTCTTAATACTTGATGAAACTGCGATTCTGTAAGATCTTTCTTTCCTTCGACTTGAAAGATGGCGAATGACTGACTATTCGTTGTTTAATTATACTATAACGATCGTTATCATAACATCACATAAAGAGTTACGTTCAAATAACACTTAAAAGCAGGCCATATGATATCATACTTCATAACGTGCTGTATCAACTAGTGAAAGTAGTTTTGTGCTAAATCTTGGTACGCTGATCATGAAATTTACAGGAAAACCGACTTTTTTGTTTTGTTTTCCCCTGAATGTTAGCGCTGATCATGAAATTGACAGGAACATCGACTTTTTGTTTTGTTTTCCCCTGAATGTTATTTGTATCAACCTTTTAAATCGCCAGTATTTAAATTTACATGCAGACTTTCACAAGGGGTGTCTAAGATTGCGGTCAGTTAACTGGCCACATATATCAATGAAATTCACACACAGTGGGCAGTACACTGACCGCATGTATGAAAAAGGTTAAAACATACGAATTTTTACACATAACTTATTCCGCAGTTTGAAGGATGGAAGTTATTTAAACGAGATCAAATTTGGAATCAGTATTAAAACATCATAGGCTCACATTATGGCTACAAATATAACCAAAACAATAAGAAAAAATACAGACGTGGAATTATAACTTTAAATTCATTAAACGAAGAGATACTTCCTCCCTTTGTGAATAATGTTATTTTCAAATGCTTTGCAGCTCTTTTTTTTACTGTGACGTGATGCAAAAATTTCAAAAATTCCAGATTGGCAATGGCGCACGCCGGAATGAATGGAAAAAAAGTTTTGTTTTCAGTCACGTTACAAAACCTTGTCGACTAGCGATAATCATTTCAACAAAACAGAGTGCCTTAGACCGCATTTGCTCGCATGGCCGGTGTTCCTACGTCAAGTTGGTCGCTGGGCGCCAGCTGCTCTGTAGAAGTCCCATAAATTAATTTGCGGCCAATACTGTAGGTCGCCTGTGACGCTCTCCTACAGATGCAAAGTTAATGAAAATTTATATCAGAGGTTTATTAACGTACACTATCTCACTGGAGTTGCTTTTAAGTACTAATAGATCAGCAGCTTCCCAGAATCCTTTAAAACTTAAAAAATAAAATCATTTATGAATAGATAAATAACACAACCCTTTGCGATGTTGTCCAATTCTGGGGGGGGGGGG